GCAATTCTTTGTAACATTTCTCAATAACATTAATCTTCAACAGATGAAAATGAAAACGCTTTAAACCTTTTTTTTTTTTTCTTGGGAAATTTGGATATCAGCTGCAACTGTAACACATCATTTCATTTATTCATTTCTGCAGAAACTCACACTCGCTTGCGTTAAGTATTGTGATAATATCATATCGTGGGATGTATGGTGATTCCCACCTCTAATGTGTTCTGTGTCGTGTTTCGGTATAATCCTCCGTTTAGGGCATGAAGCTCGGTTTTGCGGTGCAAATGTATGATGATAATAGATATAGTTGTGATAACAGCCCATCTGCTTGTTCTTTTCCAGGGTGTCCACACTGTAAAAACGCTGTCCCCCACTTCACCACGGCAGCAGAGCTCTTCAAAGAGGATCGCAAGGTTCGTGTTGCTTTTTCACATACTCACTTAGATATGTGATTACTGGCTCTGATGGCAAAGATGCCTCTAACTGGAGCTGTGCTTACAGTCGGCTCACAGTTAGAAGATCGGTATTGATTTGAATAAATATTGATCTGAAACCTTTCCGCGCAGTGTTCAGGCTAAAGTTAAAAAACAGACAAATAAAACAAATTCTAGCTGCTTTTTTATCTTGTTGTTTTGCTGTATCGTGCTTTTCACAACAAATAAAATGGTTATTTTAAAAGTAATGGAACAAAAGACGCAGATTTAGACCAACAAGGGACCTGATGTTGCAGACATGGGTACAAAAGAAGTCTGAGTTATCGAGAAGTCTGTAGAAAAATGAGCCTTGGGTTCATTTGATGGGTTCAAATAGTTCTGGGTGAGTTTAAAGTTCAAATTTAAGTCATTACTTTGAAAAATGTTTATTTTGTAAATTACACGCCTTAATAGAAGGGCTTTCCTAATGGCGCCTACGTCCATCTTTGAAATACAGTCTGTGACCTGAACACAAGTGACATCCATGGGGGAAAAAGGCCTTTGCTGCTTTTGTCTAAAATAGCATCTTATCCCCTGTCCAGCACCATCGGGCCTTGTTACCTAAAATCCTATCTGCTCGGGCTGTTGTGATGAAAATATCAAACTCTGAATAACTCTGAGCTTCTTGCCAAACCTCGTCATTGGGCAGTATATAAAAAAGCCACACCTAAGCCACAGGGAGACTGAGTCACATTACTAAAAGAAAATATGAACAAATCACTTTTCCACCTTTTTATATTTTCAGCCCTGAGAAACAGACAAACAACCGATTAGTGACTGGACTTCCATGAAAGAAAAGGCAGAAATCTCTGTTTTTGACACGCTTCATGTGTCCTCATGCAAAAAACAGGAGGAATACAGATTAGGAGGCTAATTATCAATGCACACACAGACTCACGCATGCACCTCTGTCCCTGTTAGGGAGTTTTTTTGGCCCTTTTTCTGCCCTTTGTTTGTGATGAGGGCTTCAAAGCATGCGACAGGGCACAGCAGTCAGGCTGCTTCCTCTTCTGGGCCCTTTGGTGCGTCCCTCTACAAAGAGATGCTCCA